CCAATCACCTGTGATAATTTTTTTCCATCCTTTCATTTTCAGTTTCTGCAAATCTTTGAAGGTGAGATTTGTCTCCTGTAGGCAACATATAGATGGGTTTTGTTTGATCCATCCTGATAATCTAGGACACTTGATTGATGAGTTTAGGTCTTTTACAATCAGTTAATACCCAGAGGTATTAATTTGGTCCTTTCATTTTAACAATGTGCTATTCAGTCTTTGTTTTAGTCTTCCTTTGTTGTCTTAATGGGACATTCTCTACATTTGCCTTTGGTTTTAAAGGTGTTATTCCTTTTCTATGTCAACAGTACGTATTTAAGGACCATTCGTAGGACATGTCAGGAAGAGATGTAAACTGTGAACTTTTCTTTACTGTGAAATAATTTTATTTCATTTTCAAAGACAAAGGAAAGCTTTGATAGATAAATTATTCTGGAATGATTTTTTGTTTTCATTTTAGAACCTGGAATATGTCACTCCATTTTCTTCTGCCCTATAGAGTTTACTCTGAGGTCAGCAGGGAATCTGATTGGTATTCCTGTATATCGTAATCAATGATCTACCCATTGCTAAAATGACAGGTTTACAAGTTACCACCATTCATATTAACCCTGAATGTAAATAACTTAAACTCATCAATCAAATCTCATAGATGAGCGGACTGGATTGAAAAACAAAACCAATCTATTTGTTGCCTACAGGAGACACATTTCATGAGCAAAGATCAATGGAAACAGTATCTCATGGATTTAGATTTTTTTTTTTTTGGTTAGTTTTATCTCTTCAAAACACTTTCTTCTGATTAAATTCTTCAATAATTCATAGATCATACAGTAGCATCACTTCCTTCAGGAACGTTTTTGATTTTCATTTCTTCAGTGACACCTTAGTCATTCATTCATGTTATTTAGCTTCATTGTGTTGTTAATTTCTCTTTTTCCTTCCTGTTGTTGATTTTGTTTTGTGGCTTTTCACTTATGGGGATGTATAATAACTGTGTAATGGAAACTATCATATCTAGTAGCATGTTGTTTAACTTAATGGCATTGTAAGTTTCTATTTTTTCTTCCTATTGTTGATTTTGCATTGTGGCTTTTCACTTGGGATGTAGAGTAACTGTGTAATGGAGATTATCATATCCAGATGTGAGGATACAATGCAGTATGCCTCTCTACTTCTAGACAAAGATAGACTCCCAGTGAAATTGTTTATTATATCTTGATAATAGGAAGCTGGACTCTTTGCCATTGTCCATGCCTTCAATGATGGACATATGACTGTGTAGAACTATACTGTAGTGATGATATAGGGGAACTAAGTGAGGGGGGAGGGAATTGAGGAGGGGATCAGGGAAATCCCAGGGCCTATGGAACTGTATCATAAAATGATAGCTAGAGTTTGTTTTGAGATACCTTGGGTTACAAAACAGTGGAGTAAACATATAGAAGAGTGAAACTTTTCCCTAAAGAGTTATTTATTTGTTATTTCAAAGACAGCTTTTATAGCAAGAGAAGAGATGGAGAGAGGTCTTCCAGAGTTTTTTCCATGTCTCAAATATAAGTGCAGGGTCTCAAGGACTTGAGTCATCTACTGCTTCTTCTCAAGCCATAAGCATGGAGCTGGGCGTGAAATGAAGCTGCCAAGATAAGAACCAGAGCCAATATCAGAATGCCAATGCAGCAGGGTGAAGGGTTAGCCAGTTATATGACTCTGGCAAACCCAAGAGTGACAAAATTTTGTTAATTATTATAAGTAGGTGATGTGTAGGCTGAGGTTACTCCTATTAATCTACTTTTGTGTAATACATGAGGTTAATGACAAAAAGTTGCACATGAAAAATAAGAGATTGTGGAAAAATATGTGAGGATTTGATGAACGTACCACTTGATGTGTGGATTACAAATATTGGGAATCTGCATTGTAAATAACTTTGAAGGTGTCAGGTATTTCTCTTTAGTCTATCAACTTCTACCACACTAAGGCTGCACAAGAAGCATCCTACTAAAACTTAGATTATGATCTTCTTATGGCCATGTCATGAGGCCACTGGATCTGCATCCATCTATGAAATCTTCTTTTAAAAATTAGTCACCTGAATTAAAGAAACTTCGAAAGTTTCTTTAACCCTAACGTTTCTTTAACCTTCTTTAACATGAAGCCAGAAACACCTATGAGTTCTGTGTTACCATGCCCTAGGATGCACAGAGGAGATCCAGAAAGACTTGGCTTGTCTCAGACAATCGAGCTGCTGGAGAAGCAATTTGTCACTAGCAGATGGATAGCTCAACACTAAAAAAGATGACACACTAGAAGGAAATTAGATATTGAAAACAATTTCTTTCAGACTTATCGTGAAACTTCAGTCTCGTACGAACAATTATCTTTAAAGAAGTCAGGGGGAAAAAAATGCCATACTAAGATCGGTACCCGTGAAAACAGAACTTTACACATGCTATAGCCTTTATAGTCACCATTTACTTGATTGGTCCAAATATTTATAGTTCATTGTTATGACTGCCAAAACTGGCAACCACAGGATTGTTGTCTCAATTAGGACAGTAAACAGATTGTCTCTTTTTTTAATGAAAAAATCTAAAATGTAATACTTCACAGTTTAACATGTTTATTCATCTAAACGAGCTAAAAAATAATGGTGCGACATCTGTTCAAGAGGCATTGGTACCTCAAATTTTGGCTGCTTCCCCACCAATTTGGTTGTTGTCTTAAAAAATGGAGAATAGGAGGGGGTACTGTCATCAAAAAAAAAATCTCCTGGCATGTAAAGTATCTTATTTTTTCTTGAAATAAGGATCTCATATCTGTTGCTAAGATTTTTTTTTTAAGTGTCTGACAAGGAGGCACTGTGCTGAACATGGCTGCAATTCAATTCTGGTGGATGAACTAGTGACCTACTGCAGATATTTCCACAGTGGTGTGGTTATTCATATGAGTCACTGTGCCTTCTGTGTACCAGTACAGCTAGCACCTGAGCAGCTTAGTGAGACTGTTTCTGCAGGGATCCAGCTTTTTCTACATTTTTTTTTCACTGTAGCAATAATGCCAGATATGCTATCAAGTGGAACAAAATCTAGCAAACAACCAAAAGAAGGCACCACTTGTAACAAAGGAAGGCACCACTGCTATGGAGGAGGTGCTACGAATCTCCCCAGGAATGCCTCGGGTAAGTGTAATAAAGTCTTATTTGTCATTAAAGGGAGAAATTAAAAATATCTCAGGTGGTCTGGCTCAGCAACTATGGAGGGCATACATTGAAATGGGATGAATTTAATTTATAAAACTTTATTTCTGAAACTCATCTACAGCAGAGTCTGTTTCACAGAATTATCATTGACTATATGATTTTAGAAGCTGGACAACATAGTGCTTAATATTCACAAAACGATTATATTGATAAATGGATTTTATTTTCGTTTGGAGTGAATGAAAAGTTTGTGTATGGTTTTTTAAGAAATAAGTAGGATAAAAATGGCATATTTCTCAGAAAAGAGCAAAATTTCTTTTATACTTCATGTGGTTTCCTTGATCTTAAAGAGAAACTGGACAAAAATCTCAGTTCCAAGACAACCAATGATCATATTTGCTGACTGGTAAGAGTTGATCCATATTGTGAACTTTATTTTGTATTTATTAAATTCATATAACTTTGGATCATCTATACACAGCAAATTACACCAGTTTTTAAGAGAACTAAAATAATTTACCTTGTGTTTTGATATGAGTCTATTCATTTATTGGCAGATTACTACGCAACTGGAATTACAGAAATGATTACAAAAGCATACACTTAGGGCAGCCAATCATTGGATCTTTGAAGCATTTGTTGCTTTTAAGAAAAGCATAAGAACACTATAAAATCATAAAATATTTGCCAACTAAAACAAATAACCTTAGAGAAGTACTAAAAATGAGCTTTTTCCTAAAAAATCCAGATAAGGTTATATTTTACAGTGTTTCCTCTCAAATAACTTGGTATATTTCTTTATTCTGGTTTAAACTTGTATGTCAAATAAGAACAATAAGAGCTGTCAACTCCACTCACAGTACTCCATGGACCACATTTTCAGTCTATTTCACTAAAGGGAATTTATTCTCTAGAATATGTTAACAAATATATTCTAACATCCTGGAAAGTTATTAATATAGACTTTTTCTAGTTTTGTCTTACAAATTACTCTGAGCAGTCAATCACTAGGCGAAAGGGCAGAAGGACGGATACTCACGTGTTACACACCAAACACTACTCACTATTCAGTAGTGTGGGTTCCTGAAACAGCCCAAAGCTATCACCTGTCCCTCTTCAAAGATTCCAACCACACATCCAATCTGGGGATTCTCTACTCGGATTGGCTGCTTCCCAGATAATGTGAATTCTCAAAATTTGCATTTCACAAAAACAGTGTTGTATAAACATCACCTCACTTTACCTGCTATTTACTGAAAATCAGAAAGTTCTCTGGGCATATCATGAGTGAATCCAGCTGACAAAAGGCCTCATTATAGATTCAAGGTATCCACAAATTGAGGCAATGAGGCACACCTACAATTAAACTATGTTTAGACTAATATTTCTTATCATTAGAAATCACATTTTATTCCCACAGTAGAAAACGTCAAGAATGGAACAGAATAGTAAAATGTTTTCAGTGTGATGAATTTTGAAACATTTCCAATTGCATCATCCTCTATCTTAAACATTTCAGGTTGTGTTCTTCATTACCTGGGCAGTCATGTTGCGCTCCTAAACAATATTACATGTTCTTGCATTTGGATTGACACCAGGAATCAGAAATAATCTTTATCTAATATGCCTGTTTTTAACACCATATGGGAGGGGAAATAACCAAATGAAAATTACTCACGTAAGTGCGATGGAGGAAGGGGAGGGAAGTATTTCTTGACATGTGGTGTGTCACTCAGGAAAGGAAAAGGCCCATCATATCCAAAATGCCAGCTTGGATATTCCCTTGCCTCCCACTTCACGAGCAGACATACCACATGGCACGAAATGCTGCAACCTTTCCTAAAAATGCCACTTGGATTGGTCCGCGGCGGTGAGCGTAGAAGAACTCTTGGTCTGTCTCGTGAGTTTATGAGTTCAAAGGGAAGAATTCTGTAAATCACAGTTAAATTTTGTCCTCAGATGTTTGGCGTAAATGATCTGTGAGACTATTGGGACCTTTGCCTGTTTTCACACTGAGGGAATAGATTATGCTGCTTGAAAAAATTGTACAGAACCTAACACTACATAGTCATATCCACGTTTTTGCAAAAGTACCAAAGACCTCTTTTTTGAAAATGTTTTTAACAAGCTGATCTTAGAAAGCCCTTTATCCTTTGTCAAATCTTTCTTCTCTTGGACATTATGTAGCCAAAGCTAATTATTTATTCTTCATGAATATAACATATAATCTATAGACTATCTTGTGCTCATACTGAAACTATTCATTTCTACACAGCTTTTTAGAATTTAGTAGCCAAGAATTACTTTGAGGACAAATATCTTCTAAGGTTCATGAGTCTTAAAAAATATATTTCAAAACTTGACTGCTAGTAAAAACATTAAATATACTGGTTATTATGCATAAACAAATGCAAACCACATTGAAAACAATTTTGTAAACAGAAATCTCTGCATAAGAGTAATATTAAGCATGTGTTTTACTTATTTTTTACTGAAGAGTTCTAACTTATTAATTCTGAAAGCACAAGATGTAATTTTGCAAAACAACGTCAGGTCATTCAGATTCAGGAGAAAAGCCATGAGGAACATCCTGGGGGTGGGCAGGACTTCTGTGACTTTATGTTTCAATGACAGATTGCTGCAGCTCTCCCTAATAAGAGGGGCAAAGTGATACTCCAACCTGCCAGGATAGAATAATTAAAACAGAGTTCCATGTTTATATTAATAGAGTAATAAGTTAATTAAAATCAAGATCCACTGAACTTTCTATTTACACCAGTTCAGATGGCCCGAGAGGCAAGGGATTGTATTTTAGAGACATATGTGACTCTTTGAGCTTCTGTCATGCAGGTGCCATCTCTGATGGAGCACATGTGCAATGAACAGTTGGTGAAAAAGGGAAAAGAGTACTGTAGTTTTATGTGCAGCTAGTCTCTCTAATGACATAAAATACGTCTGGAAAAAAGCAGGGCTCCTTTGTGGAATAAAAAATTTCCCATGACTTTTCATTCCTTCTTAGGCTCTTAATGGGATTTGAGAACGTTTCTGCAAACAAAACTACGTGCTTTTATTTATGATGCACTTATACACAGAACAAAACTGATTTAGTAATCGGCAAGTGATAGAGCTGCATGAACTGCTTATAATATAAAATAATTAAATTTGGGATATTTTCCATTTTATTTAAATGCACCACGGACGCTTGTCAAAGCCGAAAGATTTACAAAAATGTTTGCTGCCATATAGTATACTACCTTGCTATGTGAGAGTCCTCTCTTGATATCTCAGGCAACTATTTAAAAAGATGTGTCTGCAAAATGAATACATCAGCAGGAAGAAGTCAAGATGTTGCAGTGTCAGTACTTCAGAAAGTACCAGTCCCAAAGATGCTTTTATAAAATTATTTCTGTTTCAGGCATTGAATACTCTTCCGCTAATCTTCATCTGGGTCTAGATCAGATTCGACCTCTGACGACAGTCTGAGATAAAAGAAGGCATAGAAAGCCAGTAGGAGGGCAAATATAGCTGCAAGTACAAGGCCAACTTCCTGGAAAAAAAGAAAACAAAACAGTAGCCTTGATATTGATGAAAACTTGATTTATGGTATCCATTTCATAAGATAAAACAATCATATTATGCATAAATTTAAAATGTCTGTAATGAATTTAAAACGAATTTCTTTCTTAAAACACATTCACTGTGAAGAAATGTACTATGTCCTTTGCAACAGAAATATTGTAGCGGCAAATATGTCAGTGGGTGAGTTACTTCTGTGATTTTTTTTTCAAGTTAATTCCTGGCAGGAAGATTAAAATTCATCAATTCAATATGTTTTCAAGTTTGGATATCCAAATGTTGAATTCAAGGAATGAAGCTGATGCCAAAAATTGTCCTTTTTTTTAAGAATTTAACTTGGTCCATTATTTCAATGCAATCATTTTTAGCAATAGCATTTAGACAGAGTTTTAAATGAAAGGTATCACTCCTTTCATACTGTGAAAATAGTTATAGCCTGTTTCCAAAATATTTGTTGAATTTTAAATATCACTTGGTTGAAGTTCTAATTTTTAATTGTAAGCTCTCTAGTTATTGTCAGGGAGGATCAAAACTATTAGCTCATGACTATATAATGACTTTCAATAGTGAGCAATTGTCCTTGATACTGAATGTTGTGGTTTGATAGGGATTTCATTAATCAACACTGATTAATGACTAAAATGTACCACGGAGACCATAAGAAAATAATTTTAGGTTACATAATATCTTATAAACTCATGCTTATTTATCTGCATGTTTCACAGAGAGATTTCCTCTATGGTAATATATCATCTGATTAAGTAGGAAAAGAAAGAAATGAAGTGCCTGGTCTATATGCTAAAGTACCCACTGCTCTTTTTCTTTTATCTTCTACTTGTATAACAGTCTCAGCATTGTTTTACAGAGAAACAAAATGTTTGCCTTTACATGAATAAATATTACATTTCATATGAATGTAAAATCAGTAAATCAAAACATGGGCATCAAAATGAATTTGATTTATAACTCACATGGACATTTTAATGCATGCCAAAACTATAAACAGGTATTTTACACAGAGTTCCTGCCCAATGATTATATGTACTTGGATTTCCAAATTATGAAAATAAATACTGATACCGATGTTTGAGTTGCAACACTAAGTGTCAGCATTTTTTGTAAGATTTGATATTTTAAATTCAATATTTCAACATGATGTCAAATGGGGGTAAATTTTTCTTCGTTACAGTTGGAACACTTTGGCATCTCAAAAGGGCATGGAGGCATCAGACAGGTTTCATTTATTTTCTTATATCCACAGCTGTGCTCCCAGGCCCATCTGGTTACAGCTACTAATTTTAAGAGGATGTAATAAACAAGAGACACACAACTGCAAACTCCATCTGTTCCGTGGAGTGGACAACAAAACTGTCCAACAGCAGCCGGCATTCACCAAGCCTCACGGAAGAAGAAACTTTTTTATTTTTGATTGGAAGCCATGATTCTTATCTTATTGATAATTAATTCTAATAGTTATTTTCAACCTCTTCTAGTCCTTAAACCAATCTATGTAATCTTTCTGTATACTTTGAAATAGCCAGAGGGATAAAAAAGAGGTTATCCATAGACTACTCTGCTAGGACACTAGTACACTGAGTCAGTTAGATTTCGTCAATATAGGATGGATTAAACAATATTAGGTGGGAAATTAGAACAATTGTCTTCAAAATGTCCTTGTTTTTGGAAAGACAAGCAGTGTGCATGTGACCGGAGGGTGCAACAATATTGATACTTTCAGGTTGCTTTGACACTAACCATAAGTTTTAGATCTATAGCTATTTAGAATTCCCTCTATCCCTTGTCCATTGATAGCTATAAATCTGAAATAACCACAAAGCAAACAACATTTCAACATGGGTCCTTAGCATATGGTTGACACTGAGAATCTTATTTATGTAATGATATTTTCATATTTTTTTGTAATTATGCTTTTCAAATAAAAATTTAAATAAAGTTAGTTAATTAGCTAAAATGTGGGTATTCCTTGTGACTGATAAAAACACAGGTACTTGCATTCCAAAAGCATTACTGAGGCTGTATTTCTTGATAAGCTCTCCTCTAATTGAGCAGTAACCAAATACTAAACACTTAACTGAGCAAATACTTTGCAGCTGGCACACATCGCATAGCTGGCCATAACTTATGACATGAGAAATAAAAGAAAACTCAACAGAAATTAATTCCAGATTTCAACAAATTTAGTCATGTTTTATGATGAAACTATTAGCTATTTCCCAGATATTTCCCATTAATAAATATACATATTACTAGCACATGCTTGCTTATGTTTAACAAGCCTTGAATGGCATAAAGATAAAGGATTTATTCTGCAAATAGTCCTATTTATAGTCCACAATGTCTCAATTGTATTATAGATTTGGAATGATAATGATATCTAGAAGCTTTTGTTTGGTAAATTCCACTAAGATGATCAAGCCTTATCTTACTAAGCATTCTTCACATATTCTGTTGTATTATAACACTTTCTAGGTGAATTATGTATTAATATTTATGTGATCTTGATAAGGTATGATCCAATTACAAAATGCTTTAGAAATGCTACAACAATCATATCCATAAAAATATATCCAAAGAAAACAGGAGGATATTTTGTAATAGAAAATGCAGTCATACCATGCAGACTAAGTGTAAGTAAGTATAGTGACAAATATTAAAGCAAGTGATACTTACACATAGGAAAAAATGGCTAGTTCTAATAAATATACCCTCAATCAGCTGATAATTCATTAATAAATTCTATATCCCAAGGCCCCTGATATTTTCTCCATTAATTTATATTGACAGTGTGACCCACTGAAAAGGATATTCTCCATAATCTCCATTTTACAGATGGGCTAGCCTAGATTTATCTTGTTCATGCCAATGGTGAGGAGCATAGAAGATGTGATATTGGGCCTTGTGTCTTTCATCCAATGTTGTTGTCATTGCTACAACTTTCCCATTCTATCATTTATTCATATTTTGGTAGATTTACATAATTTTATGAGTAAGCCTATGATACATTAAAAAGAATAAGTAGTAAAATGATACAATATTGCAATATTATGGTCATTCTATATGAACAAGATAAGAGTCAAACATATTTGATGTTCATTAGTCCTTAGTTGCTTCTCTGACATTATCAATACTGGTAAAATCACTCACTGGGGAAATTAAAAAGCATTAAATGGCAATTGCTGAAAGAAACTTTGTTATTTAAAACCCTACACCAAAATGACAAGACAATCAAAGTTTGACAGGGCAACCTAATTACTATGCCATATTTGAAATATAAAGCACCTCCCTGGTTCTGATTCCAAAAAAAAAAAAATTTTTTTAAATCATCTTAATGGGCTCTTCATATAAATTTTCTAGCAAAGTAAACGGTTTGTAAGGTTGAAATCCTGTTTTCCACAGGTTTACAAATCAAGCCAACATACTAGCTTATTATAATGAGGCATGCTCCAATAGAACATCTCTGGTGTAAGTTGCAAATGAGATCCAATAAAAAGTTTCCATTAAAAGATAAACAAATTCCAGACCATCTTCAGCATGTTGGAGGATATAACATTGAATGAAATGATCTAAATACAAATTCACAAATACTGCATGTTCTGCAAGCACGGACGCTAATTAAAAAAAGAAAGAAAGAAAGAAAGAAAAAGCATCAAAAAAGCAAAAGCAAAAAGAAATGCCTGTATGGATCTTGTTTCAAATAGGTTTGTACATTTTTATATCTGCCAAATCAAAGGTTTAAAATGCTATACTGCTATATTTTCAATGATCTGTGTTTATTTTTAAATGTAGTTTATAGGTGAAATAGGCATATTTCCATTTAATTATTGTTTACAGCCTCTTCTAGATTCCAATCCAATTATGATCTTTCTGCTTTTTATTTTTTAAGCTTTTTGTTTTGTGAAAAATCAATCCTTTGACTGTTACGCAAATTTAAAATACCTTATCTCAAAAAGAGAAACAGAGAGAGGGAAGGAGAAAAGGAGAGGGAGGAAGGAGAAAGGGAAGAAGGAAGGAAGGAAGGGCGTAGGAAGGGTGGGAGAGAAAAAGGAGAAAAAGGGGGAAGAAGGAAAGGAACGAAAGACAGGGAGGGAGAAATAGTCTATTCTTACAATTGTATAGAAGAACTATACTGAAACTGGTAAAAACTAGCAATTCTAACCAAAGCTTTTCAAAAAGGCAAAAATATTAGATAGTTTATAATGACACTGTAAGACATATTTTCTTTCCTACTGACAATGTACTTCAAACTAAACATTTCTTCAAATTAAAACTTACAAGGCCAACTACGAAAAGGGACATAATTAAAAAAGAAAAAGGGCCCTAAGTACGTGAATGCCTCCAAAATTTTTAAACACTGATACAAAACTGGCCACTACATTATGTCACAGGTGGATTTTGCTGCCATAGAATCTTTCTAAAAGAAAAACAACAACAACAATAAACCACCTCATTGTGAAAGATAAATGTAAGAGACATACTGCCTTGGAAGACAATAAAATACTCTCAGTTCAAGAGACAAACAATGAGTAACTTCATGTCAAATTTACAACCAAGCATTGCTTCTAAAAAAAGGCAATTTTTCTACACATTTTTAAGGAATAAATGAAATTCCATATGAAATTTTTATAAAGATTGATTTTTCTCTTTTAAACCAAAAAACAGTTTTCCTATTCATTAAAAGCTGAAACACAGCACTGAGGAGATTATGTTGTGAAAACATACTACATCACAACAGCAATGCTTGATCAAAATCAGCAATCAGGAGTGAAAGAAGGCAATGTTTCATGATCATAATAGCAAATTCTGGAAGACAACCAAATATATCATCTGGCAGTTCAACAGCTGTTACAGCTTGGTAGTAATACCTTGGCATTTGCTATAAGCCAATGCTTAGAAACATTGATTTTTCATCTGCCAGATAAAAACCCAAATCTCCTTTTAACAGTTTTATATTTAAATGATATATATACACATGCATATATATGAATAAATATGTGTGTGTGTGTATGTGTGTATGTGTGTGTGTGTATTCCACTTTTATTTTACACATTTGGTAGCAGGACTTCCAAATTACACTTTCTCTGAAGCTGAATTCAATTCCATGTACTTGGCAAAAAATTAACATGAGTAATAATATAAACGTAAAGTTGTTGAACTCATGGTACTGGCATATGGAGTTAATGTAGCAACACCATTCTCAGTTGCCTTTATCCCTCTTAAGCAGATAAAACACTGGTTTTCTAAAAGAACAAGTTTCAGAACATCATTAGATTCCATTACACAGCATACTGACTACAGCAACATGATACAAAGTATAATTGTGTGAGTGATCGAAGTATACATAATGGCTAACACAATTTAAACAACCATAAATATTTCTGCAAGTGAGGTTTCTGTTATTGTTTTTTTTTACTAAGTCCACCGCATCACTGCAGTGAACAATAAACAGAGTAACTAAAGAAAAATTGATTTGAAATGTAAATTTTAGTGGGTCTGTTAAGAGACACAGTATTTTACTTTAAGATCCATTAAAATCTCAGGATGAGAAGGATGTTTTCCATTAAGTAACTTCTTTAACCCCCCTCCCCGAAAATAACCTTCAATTTTGATATGCTGTTTAGAGTTTAAAATGCCATAAGATGCTTAGAACTCCACATTTATGCAACCCAGTTTTAGAAAGTAAAAAGGCATGCACATATCATATTTTGAAGTTATCAAAAATGCAGGTCTACCTTTATGCCTATCGCTGTTTTCCTTGCTTCTGCTTTTAATCTGGTTGCTCGTAAAATAGGTTTGGTTTTTTTATAATCCTGTTTACCTAGGAAGAAATAGTTTCAGACAATGAGTTATGCTTATATTTAATTCAAGTTTAACAGTCATCTGAAAATGTCAACAAATGTTTAAACAGAGTAAAACAGGGACGCATAGTTGCAAAGTAGTTCCCAGTAGTGACAACTATAAAGTTGCCACCTAAAGGTCAACATTTCCTCCTTTCCCATTTTTTCAGGGAAAAGACTCTGACAGATATCTTTGATTTGATGTGCAATGAATATGTAAGAAACAAAATTTTAGAAAACAAGTTTTACAGAAAAATAGTAAGCCTTGTGGGAGAATTCAGAGAGAAATATGTCAGTAACTGATTAAAGATTATTTCTCATTAATTGTTAAAGTTAACATTGTGTTCTAACTTGTAACAGGATACTTCATTGTAAATTCATTTTGTTATTGGGTAAATTAAGTAGTCAAACAACCAACTGGAGGAATATACCCAAATTTCCTTTAAAAAGAGATGAAAAAGAAAATTGTACATACTTGACATAAACATATATTTATTTTTTATTTCCTCTTGAGACAATAAATGTGGTTAGATTTTAAAAATTTCCACATCAGCTTCAAGTGTATCTACATTCCCACTTGGAAGCCGAGAATGAGCAAACCTGAGATAGTGTGACAAAATTTGGCACAGGATCATCAGGTGATACTATCACTGAATAACACGACAGTCACCACTCTGGTGAGAAAACAGATTTAATAGCAAAAGCCCTGCTTACAATAACACACACACACACACACACACACACACACACACACACACACACACACATACACACATATTCATGCATGCTAACACATATACCATAACATATATACACACACACACATCTATGTATCTATTTTTTCCTAATAAAGCAGAAAAATTCATGTACAGAAATACATTTCTGGGCCCAGTGAGGTAGCTTAGTGGTTAAAGTCCTTGCCTTGCACGCACCAGGATCTGGTTCTAATCCTGGCAGCCCCGCTTCCCATCCAGCTCCCTGCTTGTGGCCTGGGAAAGCAGTTGAGGATGGCACAAAGCCTTGGGACCCTGCACCCACGTGGGAGACCCAGAAGAAGCTCTGGGCTCCTTGCTTTGGATCTGTGCAGCTCCAGCTGTTGCGTCCTCTTGGACAGCAGATCTTTTCTGTCTCTCCTCCTCTCCCCATATTTGATTTTCCAATAAAAACATAAGAAAATATCATATATAAATATATCTTAATATATGCTAATGATTCAAAAGTATTCAAAATTTCTTACATATTTTCAAATTAGAGATGACAGAGAGGAATGGGACAAATGGGTGACAGTTATGAATAAATGCTCTATTTGTGTCCATTTAACAAATACTAGCATTTGGCTGAAAGGATGCATAAATGTAGATATTTTAAAATAAGGATCATGTGCTCTTTCCCTAGCTGCCTCTGGAGGGTTGTCACTCTGAATCTTTAAACATGCAGGCGTTCAACAAATATTATTTGATGATAGAGTTCAATGATTCAGAAAAATGAGTCATGCATAAAATTGTATATCAAATCACCTAAGTTTACAAAATGTGATAAACAAGATACAGAAAAAAATATTACTCTTAGCCATTATAAATTAGCAATATTCAATTTTTCTGAAAAAAAAATACTGAGTAGTGTTACTCTAATTTCACATTTCAATGGTCATTGTTCATGTCATGGTACCTGCTGACCATATAGACAGTTCAAACCTGTGACACATGAAATGCCTATATTTCCAACTATAAAGCAAATTTCTACTGAAAATCCAAAAACAAATTGGAGATTATAAATTTAAAACCAAAGAAGATATTCATTATTTTATGTTTTATATACCCCATTATAATCTTTGGGCACACTGTGGAAAACACAAATGAAAAAGGATTATCTTACCCTTTTTTATATAAGCAAGTTATAAATAAAATCATAAAGCTTTCACTATCCATGCTCCATATCCTACAAGAAAAAAGACTATCTTATCCCATACATTTTTCGTAGTGATATGCAATATTTTGGACAACATATCTGTCATAAAACAGACTCAAGCACACCTTAACAAATATGATTAAGGGGCTGGTGGGATGGTTCTACTAGCTAATCCGCCACTTCCGAGTACCAGCGTTCCACATGGACACCACTTCTTGTCCAGGCTGCTCTGCTTCTCATCCAGTTCCCTGCTAATGGCCTGGGAAAGCAGCGTAGGATGGTCTAAGGCCTTGAGATGCTACACCCCAGTGGGAGACCCAGAAGAAGCTCCTGGCTTCTAGCTTCAGAATAGCTCAGATGCAGCCATTGTAGCCATTTGAGAAGTGAACCAGCAGATGGAAAAATCTTTCTCTTTGTTGCTTCTTCTTTTTGTGAATCTATTTTTCCAAAAAAATAAATCTTTGAAAAGGAAAAAATAAAGATTCTGGTTACAGTGAGGATTTGTCAATTTGTTTCAAGCACTACGCAATTATGGGTTAAGTGACCTACCCTGTTTCAACTCAATTCCTATATGTTCCTAGAAAATAATGCCTGCACGTTTATTCTGAATCAACATAAGCATTGAAATTGTATTTCTAATTAGCAGATGGTGTTAAATAATATTGCATATCTACTGCTCCAAACAGTGCATTTGCCATTAGTTTCACACTCTCTGTTGATTATGACATCCATGAGTTTATGTTGCAACATGTGGCTTTGGTGTATGATGTGCAAAATTTCCAGAGGGATCTATTAAGTTCTTTATATCAAAACTAAATTGTTTCATTGTTTCAGCATTTGGATTAGTCTCAAGAAATATACTCATGCTCCCATGACTGTGAGTATCATAAAATTCAGAAGTCTCTGCCTTATATCTAGAGTAAATACACTTACAGCATCTATATTTTAATAGCAGACTATTTCCTCAACCTAACAGTCTGATTTTGTTTATAGCATCCATAATGTAATAAACAATATAGCTATTTAACAGTTGCTCATTAAATTTTATGTGGAGAATAAACCTGATCATTCAAGCTTGTGGAGCAAATCTGGAACTTCAATGTCACCATTCATGTGTACTTGTCTCCTATTTAGCTACGCAGTCAACTTTGCTGGTGTTAATTGATTTTACGTTTGTGTGTGGATTTATGTTATTGCCCAGTGCACATTTATTTTAACGTAAAGTACTTCTTTCAGTGTGGTCCTTACAGCACTGGTGTCAACACATTTCTCAAGTTTCTGGTTTTACATAAAATTTCTTCCTTTCTCCTTTCACAAAAAGGATAGTTGTGCCTGACATAAAAGTCATGCTTTACAGCCTTTTGGTGTAAGCATTTTATACATAAAGCATTCAATATTCACGCTCTATGTAAGGCAATGAATAGTTTGACGATGATAACACCAGGCATTGGATTCTCTCATATTTACTCAGTAACAGTGAGTTATATTTGATTGAGTATTATAAGTTTGCTACATAAAGTAACATATGTTGCCAACTTATGGAAATGTCTGGTCGTTATTGTTTTGAGGACTTTTTTTCCTTCCCCTTTTCCTCTTCCTTTTATCATCATTGATATGGAAGCATGCTTGAGAGTGCCCTACAAGTTTATGTGTCTCTGTATATTTTGTGTTATTCTTTCTTCTTCATACTTTTCAGGCTAGAAAATTTCAACTGTTTTAACATCATGTTGTACTGTTTTTCACGTATTTTGCAATTTCTCATAATTTACGATTTTACTCATCATTTATATATTTATTGTTATAATAATAAATATGGTTTTATTTGTTATATTCATAATTTTGTTCATAATTATACTTAACAGTGAAATGTGTCAGTGTTGTAAATGAGATCTCTTTCAGGGCTTATCTTTGCTGTTTTTCCTTCTTTGGTTTTTAGTAGTGTAGTTTATCTCGTGACTTGTCCAAATTTACGTAAAGTTGATATGCCTCATAATATGCAGCTTCTGACAACATTATGGAGTGAACATGGTGATCACTCCATGGCTGATCCAGGAGTTCTTCAAGTGTCTTGAACCAGTGAGTCTTCTTGATTTCCCGATGAGGTGTGTGTGTGTGTGTGTGTGTGTGTGTGTGTGTGTGTGTGTGTGTGTGGTTTGTGCGTGCATGTGGACGTTTTGGAATACAATCCCACGATTTAATAGGAATTTTGACAGTTATGCCATAGCCATACTTTTGCTTGATAAGAACCTGAAAGTTAGCCAAAAGTGCGAGATTACATTTTTTGATGTCCTAACTGGACAGGGCATGTGCTTGCACATTCGCTTGACATGGAACATTCCCACGAATTTGCATCAGAGTCTCCTACCGACATTACAGGCATCTCGCTGCTCAGTTACTGCTTTTAAGTTTTTGTAGTGATCTTCATGCGTATCCCCAACCGGTAAGGCTGCCTCAGACAGCTGTGCTGTTCAACATTTGTCGCCAATCGTTTCGTGGCAAGGCAAGTTTTCCTAAACAGGCTTTTCGGTGACCTGCCAGTTAAGTTTAACAAAGACTGAGTTCTAGTGCAAATATAAAAACAAATTTACACTTATGTTCTAAAAACAGAATTTTCTCACAGTAGTAGAATAATAACAAAGCCCTTGGTCACTAGATTAACCTAGCCAATGCGTTGTTTCTTAATTTGTAAAACATGGTCTATTTGTGAAGCAATGAGACACACAGAGAGAAAGTGAGCTTCTGTCTGCTGATGAATTCCTAAATATCCATAATGGTTGGGGTCAGGTAAGGGGTCAAGGTTGGATGCCAGGAGGACAATCCAGGTTTCCAATGTAAATGTCTGGAGTGTGTTATCTGGAGTCAGGAGTTGAGGCCAGGCCGTCTGAGGTGGAACACAGGTATCTTACCTGCTAACCTGCAGACACATCTCAGCCAACTCAATTTTCTAATTTCCGGTCACAGATACTATGAGAGGTTGTCGGTCTTTACCGGAAGGCACAGTAGTTTACCTACAGTCCTACAGCAGAAGTAGATCAACTCTATCTCATTTCCAGAATCTTTAACTGTTTCATAA